GCCCCGGGGGGGGGGGGGGGGCTGGGGGGGGGGGGGGTGAACCCGCCTCAGCCGCGCGCCGCCAACAGCCGCCAGGGGGCGGCGGGCGGCCGGGCCGGCGAGGCCCTGGCCTCCCCGCCAAGCCCCACCCCGCCGGGTGCCCTCCTCCCGCCCCATTGGCTGAGCGCCGCAGTGGCCGTCGGGAAGGAGGCGGTGGCGGCGCGCCGGCTAGCAGGGGCGCCGGGCGTTGGGCGGCAGCTACGGGTTGGGCATTGCGCCGAGTTGGGTGCGCCATGAAGGAGACGTGCGGGTGAGGCGGCGGCCCCCTCCTTCCCTCGCGTCTCCCTGAGGGGCTGTTTCCCGCCGCAGCCCCCCGAGGGGCCCCTGGCGGGGCGAGAGGCTGCGGGTCCCGGAGCGGGGCTTGGGAGGAACCTGCCTCCCGTCAGGGAAAACTTTTCCTGAAAATAAACGATAAACCTTTTCTGTGTGGAGGCGGGGGTTAGAGGCTCTGCGGGGCTCAGCGCCGGTGGTCGGAGCCCCTGGTTTTTGTAGGGTAAGATTCTCGGTGCCGGTCTCGGCGTTGTGTTGCCACCGTAACCTAGAAACGGCTCGGCCGGCCGCTGCTCTCGGGCTGCCGACCCAGCTCCCAGGCGGGAAAAAAAAGTGGCTTTCTCTGAATGCTGGCGTCAGGAACAAGGTGCTTTGACTTGCCAGCAGGTGTCTGCAGGCTTTTTTTTTTCTTAGTGTGGGTATGTGCGGTAGGAATGGGAGGTGTAACGTGTTACTTCAGTGAAGGTCACGCGATTTGGGGGCGTTTCTTGGTTGGTTGGGTTTGGTGGGTTTGGTGTTTGGGGTGTTTGGTTTGGTTTCCGCTATCAATTTTTAGCCCGTTTCCAGTCATTCCTCCTCCCAAGTGGTGAGGGTGGAAGAGACTGGAGTGATCAGTTTCTGCCTGGCTGGAGGCAAGCCGACCTCATGAGTCAGAGAAACGCATTCGTAGTGAAGGCTCGTACACCGCCCTGATGGCTGAAGGCAGCTCCCTGAACTGTAACAGTGTAAACTTATTCGTTGTCTCTCAGAGCGTGCAGGAGAAAAGGATAGCAGCTTTGTGAAGCTATAAATAAGTGACAAAACCTGCAACGAGTCAGTTTAACTTCTTGTATAAAATTAGGATCTATCGGAACGGAAATATGCTGGAGCTGTTCACTGTGGTAGACAAATCATAGCAAGAGTTGGCAAAATATCAAACTGCTGCAGGCTTCTCGTTTAAACAGAAGGCTGATGGATGAATAGGTAGTATGCCATGTATGCTGCTTTCTCTCTTAAGATCTCTTCTTTGTATATGCCTGGCAGTCTGGTACAGTTAAGAGAGAGAAGTAAGATTTTTTAAATTTTTTTTTTAATTTTTATTCCAAAAGGGGAACAAATCCTATTGGGCATAAGCTACTCACTCAGTAAGACTTTCAAAATGCCATTTTCCTCAACTTTTAAGTTGTGAGATCAAATTTTCAGTAATACATGCAAGCAACTGAAAAATATCTACTATTGACTAAAAGAATTTGCTCTTAATAATATCTGATATAGGTAATTGATATTGTCCTTTATGTCAATCTCTAATTATAGTCTCTGCAGGAAGAATGGGACAATGAAAGGCAGATGGTGGCCTTCTGTACACTGGAAAGATCTTGAATGCTAGCAAAGTCTAAAACCCATTCTTGTGTTGTGCAAACTTTCTGAAGTGCAAGTTGTACAATGCAAGTAATATGTAAAACATGTAGGAAGTTGCTGCTGTAGGTGTTTTAATTTAGATGTAATGCACAGCAATTAATCATAGGCTTTCCTTCTGTATTTGTTATGAAAATGATATCATAAGAAGGAAAATATTATGAATATTTTTACTTGTGAAGTGGAAGTTGACAATGCCTATAAACAAGGCAAGGCAAATTAGGTCAAGGCCTAGTTACACTTGTAAGTAAACAGCCATTCTGACTGGGGAAACTAGTTGATAGGACTACAGTCCTAATACCCCTCCCCAGCTTTTTGGAAAACACATAGAAAAAAGTTTGAAAAATGAGCTCATAGAGAAGGGGGATGAGGGGAACCCACTAGATGACTAAAAGCTGTGTCTGTAATTGGATAAAGCTACCCTGAGAGAAATCCATCTTCCCTCAATGGAAGAGTAAAGGCAACAGTTAGAAATAAGGAGATGTAATAAGCTGTCTTTTTTAAATCAAGTATTGAAGCTGTCCTTTGAGCATTTCCTAATCCCATTTCAGCCAAAATGGGTCAGATATCTTAAATAGTTATAAGCATCTCTTGACTAACCCAGCTAATACTTGAAGTTGTCCGTATGTGAAGTAGGAAAATATCTGGTTGGAATAATGACATAATTAATCCCTTTAGCCTTAAGGTCTGGATATGGACTCTGACAAGCATGATGAGTTGTAGAGACTTTTTAATGTGTCTCCCCCTTTTGCTACTAGTGTTTCTGTAGAGACCCTTGATCCATCAAGTACAGTTCTTGCCTTCTGTCCCACTCCTTTCTCTCTCATGGTTTCAGCTGGTCATGCGAAGTAGGGGTTTCTTTCTCCATTTTTCCCTTTCTAAAGCAAGGGTTCTATGGTGTAAAAAAAAAAAAAAAAAAGCAAAAGCTGCTTCTAATTTAATGTTGTCCTGCCATGTCAGTCTTGTGCTGCTTCTGACTGCAGGTAAGTCTAAACATGCAGGGCAAGTGGAGGGTTGGAGGTGAAAATGATGCCTTGCTGTGACTGCAGTTCCAGGGGCAGTAACCTTGTGGGCCTCCAAACCCAGGTGCCTGGTGTCCTGCTCAGCCTAACTGGGTGTGGGAGCAGCTTGGAACACCTGGCATTTATTTTCAAGAGTGAACCGTTAGAATTTGTTGTGCTGCATGTTTGCCAAGCCTTTGAAGAACTGGTTTTACAAGGTCAAGTTGGAGGATGGCCTTGTGTATGCCTGGGAAGATGTGGCTGAAGGCAGTCACGAGTATGTGTATGGAATGTTTTTATCTTTAACTGTTCTAAGGACTGGCAAACATCCCAGCTGAGCCAGATATGCGTTCCTGTGTTAGTAATATTGGCTGTATGCCGTTAGTTCTTTCTAGATCTTTGTTGAAACATATAAGTTTGATCTTTTAGTGAAATAAACGGAAACTTTTACAGATAGCTTGAGTGCTTAATTCAGTCGCCGCACTGGGCAGTGAGCTAGCTAAACCAGATTTGAGCACCTTCTACAAACAGAGCTTAAGTTGTGCTGCTCTACATGCTGACATGCATCTCTTGGATTTAGATGCATGTACAGCTAAGCCTCTGAACTATAAAAACTGAACACTGTGTTAAGAGCACAAGGCTTTCCTAACAACATTAGCTGCAGATTGGTTGATGTTTTCATTCATACTCCTCCATAAACAAAAACAGGGTAATACTTAATTTAGTGCAACAATTCTGTTTAACAGACCACTTCGTTACATGCCCTTCCTCTACAACCAACTATCATGTCCTTCCAGAATCAGTAGAAGCACAGCAAATACATTTAACTAAAAGAAGCCAGTGTTAAATTGTCTTGTTTAATGTTAGCAGGAAGCTGATGGGAATATCCTTAAATCAAAACTGATATGAAACTGAAATGTGTCCAAAACTTCCGCTGTATGTAGTGTCACCTTTAGGGGATTTCAAACCTTTTAATTTCCTGGTGATCAGTTCTAACTGTCTAGCGCAATGCAAATAAGCTGTATTAAGATGGTAGCAGCTTGGATCTTTTCTTATATCCACAAATGTTTTTTAAAAAAGTGGTTATGACTTCTAAGTTAGGTCAAGTTATCTAAAAATCATAAGCAAGATCTTTTTTTCCTCATTTATATTAATGCTGGGCAAAAGAGTGGAAGTTGATTTGGAAACCTGTAAGTGGAAGGGTGTTTTCCAGTAAGGTGGGTTTTTATTTTCTTTTGTGGAGTCTTCAGTATTTTATTTTCTCCCACAGTACTCCTAGGCTGCAGAATGAGCCTCAAAGGCACTATGGAATTACTTCTCCAATTAGCTTGGCTCCTCCTAAGGATATAGATTGTATTCATACTCAGAAGCTGATTGAAGCGATGAAACCATTTGGGGTATTTGAAGATGAGGAAGAACTGAACCACAGGTATAGCAAGACTGTAGAATTTCTTAATCTCCTGGATTTTTTTTAGGGCAAACTTAACATGAGTTTTCTTTACAGGCTGGTCGTTCTTGGTAAACTGAATAACTTGGTCAAAGAATGGATTTCAGAACTTGGTGAGAGCAAGGTAAGGATTTCTGACATGCTCTTATCAAGAGAGCTGAAACCTTTTTATTTCTTTTAAAGGCGATACTACTAGGATTTATGACAAAGTTCAATTTTTAACTTTTTTCTTAAGTATCAAGGAGAGCTGTAGTAACTGCCATTGAAATAATGTATAAAAGATACTTCAGATCAAGCTCTTCAAGTCTGGGGCACTGAATGAATTTGTGAAGTGGCTCCATCAGTTGACTTGTAGCAGTTAACAAAGCTGAAACAACCTATTGTGGGGTGAGATAGATGGTAAATGGGCAGTAATCTTGCCCCAAACAGCCTACAGCACTCAATCTAGTTTGAAATTATTACACTTTGGTATGGCTCTTAGATTGTGTTAATTTATGTGCCTCTGCTGCAGGGAAGACTGGTAATAGGTCTTAATTTGTTTAAATTAATGAGAGGACTGCTATATTACTCATTTTTTGTGTGTGATTTGCAAGCACTCACTTCAGGAAAACAGTATCAGTCTATTAGACTAACAACTGATACAGGAGTGAGAAGACATTGTTTATGGAGGCTATTGTAGTCTTTCTAAGTAACTTATCTGCTAGTTAAACTTGCACATAGGTCAATGTGTATCTTCTATTCTACAGAAAACTCTCTCTTCTACCCACAGAATCTTCCCCCTTCAGCAGTAGCAAATGTTGGTGGCAAAATATTTACGTTTGGTTCTTACAGGCTTGGAGTACACACTAAAGGTAAACTTCTGTTGTCTGGTCATAGTTCTAATGTTTGAAAGTGTCTTCCAACAATAACAGAAGAAATGGAATCTCTTTGCAGGTGCTGACATAGATGTGGCTTGTGTTGCTCCTAGACATGTAGAAAGATCGGATTTCTTTCAGTCGTTCTTTGAAAAACTAAAACATCAGGAGGGAATAAAAAATCTAAGAGTGAGTAAGCTCTCTCCTTGATAGATTGTACAACTCCTACAATAAGAATATTCATGTTAAAGACTCATATTGGCAGTGAATGTCTTGCAAACCAAAATTAAAAAGGGAATTGTTGCTGAGCACTTTCTAAAATGCTGTTTACGCAGCATGAAAATGTTGAAGTCAAGCTTTTGGTTCTTTTCCTCAATGACTGCACATCACACAAGAATCTTCGTGCAACATTTCTCCCCTACCCATGGTTTGGGAATGAGTCAGCTGTATCAAAAAGCAAGGTTGTCCCTAGGAGCCTTGCTTTAAACTTAGATGTAGTAAGGGGCTTGGAAATAAGGTAATTGCATGCAGGAAGAGGAAGGGGCAGCCTAAAAACTAAGGAAGTTGAATGTGATGTGGAAAGGTTTCTGTCAGTATCTTTGCTGTGGTGTTCCTCTGGATGTACTTGAGGACTTCTAATTTATTTTTTTCTGGTCATATTCTTCTCTGGCTACTCAGCCTGAGACTTTGCAGAAGAGATGCACAGTCAGTTTTACATGAAGTTAATAGCTGTGCTACGAACATACAAAACTGCCTTGTAAAATCACCCTCAGGTGCGTATGTTGTGTACCTTGCGTGTAAAACAGGACTCCTGAGAAGTGTTTCTCTCAGCCTGGTCTTCCTTGTGCAGACATTTTGAAAGACTTCATATGCATAGCTAGTGAGTGTTTGTTTAGATGACTCTCACCTGAAAACAGACTCAGTGGGCTGTGGCACGGTTCTAACAAGTGGTCTACAAAATTGAAAACTGTCCCGTAAGGTAGCTGATAGCATCTCAGGCATGATAGAAAATAAAAATACAGGAGGCTAGTGCACACTGTAAAACGTGGACAGAATTATCTAGATTTCTCTGGATGTTAACCAGTAGTAAGATAGCTACAGAAATCTCTTGCTTTTCTTCCTCACCACCAAGGTAAGTACCTTACAACCTCTGATACTGATGGCTCATTGTGCACTGTTTGTTCATTACAACACATGATCAGCTTCTGAATCTCTTGGCTAAATAACTTCTTAAAGCTAGTATTAGTACTGTATTAGTGCTATACTGCTTGCAGCTTATTAACAAATTTTTTTTGTTCGGCAGCAACTCAGTCTTTATACTGAGTAGTTTAGCAGTGTAAATTCTGTATTTTATCATAGTTTAGGAAAAACATTAAAGTAGCAAAACATGTTTTCTTATGCAGCTATCCCCTCCTTTACAGGCAGTTGAAGATGCATATGTACCAGTTGTCAAGTTTGAATTTGATGGCATTGAGGTAAGCATTTCATATTTTTTTTAAGTGAGTAAATTTTTTTTCTTGCTTTGGAATAGGATAACTTTTCCAGGGACCTGTGACTGTGCTATTTTTGACCACAACCTATCCCAGGAGAAGACATTGCAGTAGAATGGGAGCTTGTAGGAAAATAAGCCCCTAGGAAGCCTGGCAGGCATGGGAGCATCAGGGACATCTTTTTCTAAACCTGTGCTGTAGACCAGGGTAGCCTGCTTGAATAGCATTTATCTCTAGCGTTGTGCAGAGTGGGAGCAGAGGCAATGTCCTTGCTAATTCTTTTTAGCTCTGACAAGCTGGCTTTCTACAGAGGGATGTGTATAGTGTAATTCACTGTATGAATCATGTGAGCAGACTAAATGTTTTGCTGCAACTCAAAAATGAAGTGGTCATGGGACAAACAATCTGGAAAATGCCAAGTAAAAGTACTCGTTTGACTCCTGCCTAGGTTTGTCAGCTGCAGGAATCCTGGTATCTTGAATACATCTTATACAATGAATAAAGACCTGCATGCTGTAGTAGCTAAGCAAGTTACTGATTGGTATCACTATCATGAAGACATTTATTCAATGACCTTTTTGTGGCCTTTATCTGGTACAGACTTTCACAGGATAATCTTCTTGCCTCAGACTGTACTAAAAACCAGATACCTCAGGGACAAAAGGGCTTACTGCATAAAGAAAATGCTCTCTCCTTTGCTGAAGTATAGTTGAGGTGATTGAACTTCTGTCTTAATTCTATGATTAATTTTAAGTTCTCTTTCAATTCAAATTCTAAGTTTAGAGTAAGCTTTTCAACTTTAAAAAACCCTCTTCCTTTCCCTAGCTTAAAAAGAAAGGGGTGATGCAATTAGAGTTTTGTAAATAAAAATGGGACTTCTAGGAATTTTACTGAATCTTCTGGCAAATTAATCTCTTGGGAGATGTATGTATAGTCACATAATTCTAAATACAAATGTTAACCACTCTCTTTAGACTTGACTAACTGTTCCCCACTAGTGTGCTGTTTGCAAACTGTGTGGCATTCTAATGGTTGGCACTTTTTTCCTCTTAAGATTGATCTTGTGTTTGCAAGACTGTCTATGCAAACTGTTTCTGACAATCTTGATCTCAGAGATGACTCGCGTCTCAGAAGCCTGGATATAAGATGTATACGGAGCTTAAATGGTAAGCATATTTACACATCTTTAAAAAGAAAATGTTACTAAAATTTGTATAGAATGCACATTATACAACCCAAGTTTCTGTACAAGATGCAGAAACTGATCCCCTGTATATTTGAGATCTGAGGAGGTGGTGAGTGGGCTTAAATTTAGGTGTTTCAAGTTGTGTGTTTAGGTAGACTTGTGTTTCATGTTTCTTTGATCAGGGTGTGTGCATTGTTCTAGTTTGCCACAGAAACTGCTTCAGATGAATAGGTAGAGCACTTGATAGAGAAGAATGTGGTAGTTCATTAAAAAAAAATAATAATTTAAAATACCTGAAGCCTAACTTGCTCACTGTTTAACACTGACTGGTTTAATTGTTCCTGGCTGTTGAAAGCAAGCTGGCTTTCAGAATCCCATAGAAAGGCCTTACTGAAAATTGTTGGCTGTAGTCTAAACTATGAAAAAGCTGTTGAGGGCACCAGTTACCTGAAGTGATACTGAATGTTATGTGTAATCTATAATTTTTAAGGTAATACGAAGCAAGTAATCCAAACTTGTTTTTGTGGACTTGAAGGATAAACTGTAAGCTATTGATCCAGTATAGCATAAAACTGACTTGTACCTGTTACTAGGAACTTCTGTACTTCAACTTTTTTTTCTTACAGGCTGCAGAGTTACTGATGAAATACTACATCTAGTGCCAAATAAAGAGAACTTCCGTCTCACGCTCCGTGCAATTAAACTGTGGGCAAAACGTGAGTAATGTGATTGTTTGTGATCTTTAAACTTTTCAGAGGCACCTCATGCTGAAAAAATAATACCATTAGAAGTACTTCAGCTTTGGATAGCTGTTTAAATAAGTTTTTAGTTTAAAAATGGTTTTTAGTTTAGATTCAAGGACTGTCCGTGTGGTAGATTCTGTGTATGTGTTTTTTTAATGGAGGTAGAGTGGGGAGTCCCTACAAGACAAGGTGCTGCGTTGCTTATCAGGAGCCTGACTACAAATGATAAAAATGCCAAGTTAAGTATAAAAGCTTGATACATAAGGAAGAAGAAAATATTGTTTGCACGTGTGACTAGAGCAAGTGCTAGAAGAATGGCAGAACCTTTTTCTTAAGGGAAATTGGAGTGAAGCAGTAGCTGTAGCCATGTAGGCAAATTTCAGAGTAGCAGTTTTTTGGGAAGTGGTGTGGTAATGATTCTTTCTCTTATCACTGTAAGGATCATTGCACTGCAAAAATAACTGACTTTGAGGCTGAAGTGTACTAGGTATTCTATAGATTGAGAAGTTGGTGTTGTAAATTTGAAGGAATATACTTGGGTATTGAAAGACTACAGGCTAATGACAATGTATCCATTGCAGGGCGTGGCATTTACTCCAACATGCTGGGATTTCTTGGTGGGGTTTCCTGGGCCATGCTAGTAGCAAGAACATGTCAACTCTATCCAAATGCTTTGGCTTCTACTCTTGTTAACAAGTTTTTCTTGGTTTTTTCAAAATGGTAAGAGCTATTTATGACTATTTTAATTTGCATAAAGTAGTAACACTTTTTGAGGTAGTTTTTCATATAAGATTTACACCAACAACATTCAATCCTACCCTGAATTACATGGCAGGGTTTTAAACGGACAGTTAGTTACTGGCTTTTCTTGTATAGGGAATGGCCAAATCCTGTATTGCTGAAACAACCCGAAGAGAGCAATCTTAACTTACCAGTATGGGACCCTAGGGTATGTAGACATTGAATTCAGAAGCCTTTAAACTTTCTTCTAACCTAAGCTGGTGCTAAGCAAGGTTGTTTTAACATCATAGGTGAACCCATCAGACAGATATCATGTAATGCCTATCATCACCCCAGCCTATCCACAGCAGAACTCTACATACAATGTATCTACATCGACGCGAGCGGTAATGGTAGAGGAGTTCAAACATGGTAAAGTTCTTTCCATGCTTATTAACTGCTTAAAAGGTATAATTCTTGCTATATGAAACCACATTGTCTGAATTGGTTATATTCTGCAAGGTGTTCTGCCCTTTTAGGCAGAATAGTTCCCTGGGAAGTATACTTGTTGCAGACGATAAGGCACCAGTTTTCCAATGAATTGTTGTAGTAGACCTGCATTTTGTCAAGGAAATTCCTGCTTTCTGATCTGTCAATTACTGTTCAAAACCTTTATCTTATAAAGTTTATATCATGCTCCGCTAGTCCTAAAAACAAAATGGTAATAAGGTTTTCAACCTTAATTGTAGGTCTTGCAGTTACAAATGAGATTCTCCAAGGAAAATCAGACTGGTCAAAGCTCTTTGAACCACTGAACTTCTTCCAGAAATACAAGTATGTATGAAATCTGTTATCTGAACTTGAAATTATTTACTTACTGGTTAGCATAGTGAGTTTTGGCTTGCAGTCTAAATAGAAGATGGCATTAATGTTTGTTTTTCAGAAACTGGAGGTACTCATATGAATTTTGTTAAGTGTAGGAAAGATAGAAGAACTGTATGTGTTAAGACACTGACACTGTTTTTGTTAAAAAAAAAAAATCAACTATGATACTTATGTGGCAGAACACAATTCTAAAGGATGTGATCAGTTTTTCTTCAGTTAATACTGTGCTGAATACAGGATATAATCTGTCTTTTCCGGGAGTCATATTCTATACATTTAAGGCAGTTTTGGTCTCACTTGAAGGAATATGAAGTCCTGAGCTAGGATGTTAATTTTTCTTTTCTTCTAGACATTATATTGTGCTGACTGCTAGTGCCTCTACTGAAGAGCATCACTTAGAGTGGTAAGTGTTGCTTTGAATGTGGGTTCAATACATAATTGAAACTCAATTCAGGGTTGCACTTCATTTGTTAATACAGTTAACAAAAATAAAGTATTAAACTGTGCAACTAGGCATGGAATACAGTACCAAGTTAAGTAGCAAAACTAAAAGCTTTCTTGTGAAGGAAAGTTAACAAAAATCTTGCTGTTTAAGAAGTTAACCTAAAGATTCAAGTCATGATGAGAAGGAACAAAGAGGACTAGCATGCATATGCCTGAAGGTCAGATGCTTTGTGTCATCTGGAGAAGCAGATGCAAGGAGTCTAAGGAGACTACTTACCCAACACTACTTCAGTGAGGATGTTCCTTGTTACAGAGACAAGTAAACAGGGATTACTTGGTGTCATCAGATGTGTAGTGGACACTGGAGAGCTAGATCTCTTACTGACTTATAGAGCAGTGGTCTCCAAACTTTTTTGATTGTGCACTCCTATCAGCAAAAAAATATAATTTTTTAACACATACTTGCAGTATATATCTACTTGTAAATAAGTTACATACACATTACTGAAGTTCTAATATTTTCTTCCCATACCCTGGGATGGACGGATGGACACCCCCACACACATACCCCAACACACACCCCACCCCCCCACTTTGAATGAAGATGACTGTTCTAGAGCCTTAGATAACTTGGTTTCCTAACTTTTTTTCTGGATGTAATATTTCATTTAGGACTAGATTGCACTCAATTCTAAGTTGCTCTGGTTATGTAGTCAGCCTATTCCAGACCTGCTTTTCTCCAGTGAAGTGAAATGAGGCTGTTTAGTCTGGGTGAAACCTGATAGTCTGCACAGAGCATCTGAATGCTGATAAATACTATTTACTAAGTTTTTTAATCTAGTAGTGTGCTCAGGCATCTTATGTTTAGTGCTGAAAATGATCATTTCAGCATGCTTGGTAGTGGATAGGTAAATTGGGAGAGTGCTGATGTAATTTGTGAAATGTAATGTGAGAACCACTTCAATTGTAGTTAGAGGAAATGACTGCTTATGACATGATATTTGTCACTGTCTCAAGGGAGATATGTCAATAGTAACTTGTTTAACCTATGTGGATAGGCTGACTAACTGTGAATCTTGAAATATGGGGAAATGGTGAGGAATTAAGGTACTGTAATGTGTGTGTTCTTACTTTGCTCAAGTAAGCAAGCAAAATAGCTCTGTGTAACAGACCCCTGTTCTGAGGGCACCTTGGTTATACTTCAGTTTGGCTTGCGCTTTAAGGCAAATAATTTAATTCTTGTGCTATCTCTAAAAGCTATCTTATTTAATGCTTAAAAATGGCTCTAATAGGTAATACCTTTTACCTGAACTCTTTAATATGTTCCCTTAGAAATCGTATCAGCTACAGCTTGATGTCAGTCAGTTAGGTATACAACAAGGAGTTATGGGCAGAGGGCTTAAAAACATTTCACATTAAAAACTATTTGGCTCTAAGTGAACAAAGCTTATTGTGTCATCACAATAAAGATGAGGAAAGTTCTGGCTCCCGTAAAAGCTGATGTTTTTGCAGTGACAGATGGCAGCAAATGGAGCTTAGTTTTGCATCTGGGAAAATTAAAAGCAGAAGATAAACTTGCTTCAGTTTGTCTCCTATAAGAACAAGTTTAGTTCACCAACTCTTGAATAGATTTGGGAATAGATAGCACATCTCTGTTGTTCGTCAATATAAGATACTGTTGAAGAACGTACAGATTTCTGACTGCCTTCAAAGTTAGCAGTGTTTTAGGTAAAAGGGTAAAATGCCAGTACTTCATTTAAATGAAAAGCCTTTGTGGTCATGATTCATTTCTTGGGTAAGTTTCTGATGATACTGTGTTGACTAGATAATTTGTTTATTAGAGGAACTGTATTTTTCAGTTAGGCTGGGAAAAGGTAAAATCTTTTCACAGATCAATCTGCAGGAAGAATTGCATCTTTACTCAGGTGTAATTGAACAGTTGTGCTTGAGCCTTTTCTAAACTGTTCTTCTTGACCTTTGGGGTAAAAAGGAGTTTTGCTGCACTTCAAAATGCAGCCAGAGGTGCTGGGAATCTGCTTCTTGTTGATATTTTCATTATAGGTTATATGTTGAAGTGTTGTATCTGACCTGTTAAGAGTTCAAGTTAAACTTATTTACCTCTGTCTTTTGGAAGCTTTAAAGCTCAAATGTCACTGGAAACATCTCAAACTACAGTGTGTGTGATATAAATATCCAGTATCTGCTCAGCTGAATGAAACTTACTACTTACTGATTGTTTAGCACTTGTATTAGCATTGTATTATAAAAAAGCATATAACTACTGTGCTGGATACAGTTAAAAATGAGTAAATGTCTTTTGTTCTTACTAGGATTGGCCTTGTTGAATCTAAAATTCGTGTGCTGGTTGGAAACTTGGAGAGGAATGAATTTATAACTATTGCACATGTAAAGCCACAGTCTTTCCCTGGCAACCGAGAACTTTGTAAACAGTGAGTTTCATTACTTTCTGAACTACAGCTTGGCCAATGTATTGTACCTTGTCTATATTCATTCACCTCAGCTTATCTGTGGGAGATCTTCAGTTACATACCTACTGTTTTGTAGGTATGTGGTCTGACGGGCAAAGTTCTGAGCATGTAAGATCTTTTTAAAGAACGGAGAACTTCAGGAAGGAGTTCTTGGAGAACTTAAGTAGGGGCTGACTCTAATCTTTAACTGCTGCGTACAACTAAACTGTTTCACTTAATCCCTTCTTGAGAGTAGATACTAGCATCCAAATAAATGGCATCTGTGCATAAATGATAGACTTGTGAATCTGTCTTTTTAGGAGTGGATATGTGTCAATGTGGTTTCTTGGAATCGTATTTAGGAAAGTGGAAAATGCAGAAAGTGTTAACATTGATTTAACCTGTGTTATACAGTCATTCACAGATACAGGTAAGCCTATATTTTGCTCTAGTCTTGTAAGGTTTCATTTTTTTATTCTAGTGCAAGTTGCTTCACATAGTGAGTTGTTCTTCCTTCTGGTATTAGCTATTAGGTATTTCTATAGAACATGACATATAGAAGATTAGCTTTAAAAACACACTATTTTGACACTTTGGCAAAGTAAGTCCATCTTGAAACAAAAGTGTGCACTACAGTCATATACCATATGTGAAATAACAGTTCTGCAGATCATAGTAAACGATCAGAAAGGAACTGCGATTCCTGAAGTGGACAGTCAGATGTGAAGCCAGGAGATATCCATTTACTGGGTGTAGCTACACTTGTCAAAAACAGTTGTCAGTTGCTGAACTTCAGAAGTGAGAATTAACTGTATCAGGCTCTAAAGTAAGTTGTTAATGCCTGTTGACAGTACTTTTCCAAAATAACAGTTTGTGTATGATATCATCCCAGAACTTTGAAAGTCAGTGAGTTGTCACATTGTAATTACATGCAGTCTTGTATGTAAACCTTTGTGTTCATCTTCCATTAATATTTTTGACAGATGTAGAAATAAAGTAATATTGCAAGTGTTGTTAGATAATGCTAGAATAAAGGGGTTTGGGGCTGAGCAGTCGTCTGAAAGTATAGGTCTTTTCCACAGTCTGTTTACTTCTTCCCAAGCTGACTGCTCTTGTGCCTTTCAGAAGTGCACGTGTGCTGTGAGGCTCATGCCTTGCTATCATAATGACAAACTAAGGAAATCGGGTTACTCTTCTGAAGTGACAAGTGTGTTTGGACAAAAAGTTCTAAACAGTGCACTCCTTTAAA